TGGCAAAGGCCCAAACCGTATTGCCAACAAGCTGCGCATTAAAGTCCGAAATCTTCCCAGCAGCTTCTCTCCCAAAGGCGTGGAAGAGCCGCGGGGCGGCGAACTTGGCCGTCGCGAAAGCCCAAGTGGTGTTTGCAATGCCCATACCCGTAAAATTCGCAATCTTCTTTTCAGACTCTTTCCCAATAGCAGCAAACAAGTGACCCGCCTCAACCTTCATCGTCGCAAACGCCCACGCCGTGTTCGCCAGCTCCTGCGGCGTGAACGTGTGGATTTTCTTGACCGATTCTATTTCTATAATTTGGAAGAGTTTTGGGGCCGGAAAACCCAGCGTCGCGTACGCCCAGACCGTGTTCGCCAAATCCTGCGCCTGGAAATTTGACACGTCTGCATGAGCCGCGCTGGAAAAGACGAGCGGGCATACGGAAGCGTCGATGCCGCCGAGCTTGGCGATCGAATGTAAGGCGTTGGAGATTTCACGAGGACGCCACCTAGTTGAGCGCTCTTTCCCGGGCCTCGCGGCGCTGGGCCTCGAGGGCAGTCTCTCTCGGTCCTCTGTGATGGCTCTGGCAGGTATCACACAAGGTGCGCCACGCTCGACGCCGAGTCGACGCCGCTGCCCGCTGCCCGTCGGCCATGCCCACCGCCGCTTTCCGGGCCAGCCGGCCGAGCCGGGCGTCCGAGCGCAGTGCGCGCTGCTCGGCGTCGGATCGGTGCATCTTTGAGAGGTTGTGCAGTGCGGTGGCGATATTCACAGGACGCGAGAAATTCTCCCTGTCAAACAGCTCGAGGATGCCGGCCGGCGTCTCCGCCATCATTATTCGCGCGTTCAGCGCCATCCCGGCGGCCGAGGCGGCCGACTTTGGGAAGAGGTCGTTGCGCAGGCGGTCGACGTACGAGGGCGGCGCGGGCGTTTGTGGGACCGCCTCCCCACAAACGTCGAGGCGCGGCGCCCCCGCGGCGTCCGAGGCGAGGGTGCGCGTCGGCGCGGGGAATCTCGCGGGGAAGAGTTCGTTGCGTAAACGATCGACGTAGGATAGCGGCGCGGCCGTGCGGGGGACCGCCGCCGGCGCCGACACGCCCGCGCGCAAAAACGCCTCTTCACCGATGTCGAGGCGCCCCGCGACGTCCGAGGCGAGGGTGCGCGTTTGCGCGGGCCATCTCTCGTGGCCCGCGGGAGCGAAGCTGCGGCCCGCCGTGGGGCCGAAAGTTTGCCCGTATGGCATCAACCTCCGCCCGGAGCGCATCAAACGGACCCCTCGCCCGCGCCCGCGACGCCCGCGGCGGGACCTTTGGCCAGCCGCGCGCTCGCGACTCGCCGCGCAGACCCTCTTCGCGCAGCCCCGAGCTCTTCCTCCTCAAGAGGGCAACTTTCGAACCTCGAAAAGTTTCGCGAAATTTACTTTTTGGGACTTTTTCAATCCATGTACCCTCCGGGACACCCTGAAACGCCCCGAGCGCTCGAGCGGCCGCCTCGTGCGGCACCAGTTCCCTCGCGCCGACCGCCTTCTGGCGCCTTGCCGGGGACGGCCCGACGCAGCGGCGGCGGCCCGGACGGCTTGGGCCGGGTCGATGGCGTCCGGTGAGGGGCGCCCGAAAAGCCCCCTCGGACAACAAAATCCGAGTCCTCTCGGTCGCTTCAAGATCCACGTCCGCCAGTGGTCCGCATCGCCGCGCGGTGCCCGCGACCGCCCAGCCGCTCGCGCCGTCGAGCAGCGCGAGGACGGAACCTCGCGCCACGGCGAGGTGCGACCTGCCGCCGCGGCCGCGCAGCCCGCGCTCGACGTACTCGAGCTGAGCGACGCGCTCATCCTGCGCCTGGCGTCGTCGCTGGACGCGCTCTTCGTTACGAAGCTTGTCGCTCGAGATGCGCGCGCCGTGGTGCCAGCGCTGCGCAGACTCATCTGGAAGGACCTGATCCTCAAGGGCACCGCCATCCTCGAAGGGCACACGATCTTGACCTGCGCGTTCTCGCCCGATGGCAAGCGCCTCGTGACGGGAAGCGACGACGGGACGGCGCGGCTGTGGGACCCGGAGACGGGCGCGCTGCTGGAGACACTTCGGAGGCACAGCGGCAGCGTCACGAGCTGCGCGTTCTCGCCCGACGGCAAACGCCTCGTGACGGCGAGCGAGGACGGGATGGCGCGGTTCTGGGACGCCAAGACGGGCGCGCGGCAGCCGGGGCTCCTGGAGCCTGAGGGCACCAGCGAAATCACGAGCTGCGCGTTCTCGCCCGACGGCAAACGCCTCGTCACAGCGAGGGCCGACGACGCAGCTCTGGAACGCCGCGACAGGCGCACACCTGACGACGCTCGGGGGGCACGTCGGGACGATTGGCTACGTCGAGACGTGCGCGTCTTCGCACGACGGCCTGCGCATCATCACTGGATACGACATGGCGGACGTTGTGTGGCTCTTGGACGCCGAGAGCGGCGCGCTCCTGGCGACGCTCGAGGGGCACAACGACGAGGTCACGACCACCGCGTTCTCGCCCGACGGCAAGCGCCTCGTGACAACGAGCATTGAAAAGACGGCGCGGCTCTGGGACGCCAAGACGGGCGCGCTGCAGGCGATGCTCCGGGGGCACATCAGCTTCGTCAGAAGCGCCGCGTTCTCGCCCGACGGCACGCGCGTCGTGACGGCGAGCGAGGACAAGTCGGCGCGGCTCTGGGACGCCGAGACGGGCGCGCTGCTGCATGCGCTCGTCGGGCACGCCGGGCAAGTCTGGAGCTGCGCATTCTCGACAGGCGGCGAGCTCGTCGTCACGACGAGCGACGACGGGACGGCGCGGCTCTGGACTGTGCCGGCGGTGGTCTGAAACCGAGAAGTCTACTCTGTCTGTTGCGTCAGATCCATCCATCGGTTGGGGCGGCGTGCCATATAATAACTCCTAACACAGAGCAATGCAGCCACCGCCGCGGCGGGGCGCCTGGGGATAGAACGCACGCCAGTCACGCCAAAAAAGTGAGGACTTCGTCCGCCTGCTTTAAAGTAGTGAATCAAATCCTCCTTAACCGCGTTTACAGAAGGATCGATATACAATTATTGTTGAGGACCCGAAGGGTCCTTGCCGTTTATTCAACGTCAGTTTACGGCAAGGGCCCTTCGGGTCCTTTGATTGAAGGATTACCAGGGGCAATTACTATGTCTGTCTGTCCGTCTGTCCGTCCGTCTGTCTGTTTGTCCGTCGCCGGGTCCATCCGTGAGATTCCACCTTTGGGAAGAAAAGGGCAGCAACTCGGCCGATTTAGCGATTGGTGGTTGATGCGATTGCTAAAATTGGGAGTTGAGGTCGAGCAGGAGCCTCATTGGAAACATCATAGAAGAAGTTTTTGGTCACAGGTTCGAATCTGGTCGGCCGCAAAAAAAAGAAAAAATAAATAGCTCAATAAGAAATAAAATAATAAAAATAAAGATAAGGAAGATTTGAAAGTTCAGCGATTAGTTAAATAATTTCAATTATTTACGTGGGCATTGCAATGGGATTTGGCTGTATCCTTCGGGTCCTCCGTGTGCCTCCGGCGCGCTCTTGTAATAACGAAGTTGCCGCCTTTGCCTTGCATGATCTTTTAGCGAATTATAACCACGCCCCGTCGCCGCTTTCGAAATTTCGAGAGGTCTCGGCCCTGAGTCGGAGCCCCGGGTCTTGCCCCCGGGTCCGCTCGGGGCGCATGCCGGCGGACACCAGGGCCGCGCGGCGCGCCCGGTCGCGCACCGCCGCTGCCGCGCTCGCACTCCGCGTCTTGGAGCAGCGCGGCCTGCTCGAGCTCATTTTGCTGCTGGCGTCGGCGCCGAACGCGCTTCTTGTGGCGAAGCGCGTCGCTGAAAAAGCGCGCGCCCTGGCGCCGGCCGTGCGCAAACTCGTCTGGCAGAACCGGATTCAAAAGGGCACTGCCCTCCTCAAGGGGCACACCGACTACGTCACGACCTGCGCGTTCTCGCCCGACGGCAAGCGCATGGTTACAGCGAGCTTCGACAAGACGGCGCGGCTCTACGACGCTGAGACGGGCGCGTTGCTGCTGACGCTCGAGGGGCACACCCACCACGTCAACTGCTGCGCGTTCTCGCCCGACGGCACCCGCGTCGTCACGGCAAGCCAAGACGGGACGGCGCGAATCTGGAACGCCGAGACGGGCGCGCTGCTGCTGACGCTCGAGGGGCACGGCACCAATGGCGAATGCTGCGCGTTCTCGCCCGACGGCAAGCGTGTCGTGACGGCGCGAGGCTATGGATGCAAGGCATTGATCTCGGACGCCGAGTCGGGCGCGCTGCTTCTGACGCTCGAGGGGCACGACGGCGATATCTCGAGCGGCGCGTTCTCGCCAGACGGCAAGCGCGTCGTCACGGCGAGCTACGACGGGACGGCGCGGCTCTGGGACGCCGAGACGGGCGCGCTGCAGACGATCTTCGAGGGGACCACCGACGACTGCATCGAATGCTGCGCGTTCTCGCCCGACGGCAAGCGCATCGTGACGGGGAGCAGGGAAGGGTCGGTGCGGCTCTGGGACGTCGAGACGGGCCGGCTGCAGTTCACGCTCGACGGGCACTACTACGCCTACGTCAATTGCTGCGCGTTCTCGCCCGACAGCATGCGCATCGTGACGGCGAGCCATGGCCGCATGGCGGTGCTGATCTGGGACGCCGAGACGGGCGCGCTGCAGACGTCGCTCGAGGGGAACACAATGTGCGCGTTCTCGCCCGACGGCAAGCGCGCCCTGACGGGGAACGACGCCATGACGGTGCGGCTCTCGACTGTGCCGGCGGTGGTCTGAAATCGCGGGACTCGGTCGGCTTCAGATGCAGCCATCGGTTGGGGACGGCGTGCCAGATTATTCTTAACAAAAAGCAATCAAATGCAGCCACCGCCGCGTGCGGGGTCGGGTCCGCGGCGGGGCGCCTGGGGATGGAACGCACGCCGGGGTACAAAAAAACGAGGACATCGTCCGCCTGCTTTACTAATAATAATAATTAAATATCAGGATACGCCGGGAAAAAGATAGTCAGATAGCGGGGAATCGAACCCCGGTCCTTCATTTGGGAAACGAAGATGATAACCACTACACTACTTTCCGATGCAGTAGATTCTGATACTGCTACTTGTCAGCGATAGGACGAACCGTCAGAGTAAAAAAA